CATACAAATCAGGATATTTGGAATGATCAACTAGATAGAATACAATAATAAAAAATTTTCTGCTCAAGAATGCCAGAATACTCCTTGTTATTGAGGGCGTCTGAATTTACTTATTCATATAAATTCCCTTTAATCGAATTCTCTGTTTCAGACTTTGTTAGTTAAGCTATGAATTTTTATTATGAGTCGAATCGTTTCAAATGTAAACCTGAAGAACAAAAAGCGAAAAGCACGTACAGGATTTAATTAAAATTAGTTTCATGCATTATAGATATCATTTTCATAGTTATGAAAGATGATGGGATCCAATGGAGTATTACTATCGCTAACTTGCAATGAAGGCAGACTTCTATTTTTAATCTGTACAGCTTGTAATGCTTTTCAAACAGTATTTCATTTTTGATCATCTTTGCATGCACTGGAAGAAGATTTCATACGCATGAATAAGAATATTAGGCGATGGAACACGAACTTCTTGGGCATAAAAAACAAGTTCAACTAGGAAACAAAAAAATAACCATTGTCCTACTCAAGATGAAAGAATCTTTCTTGCCATTTCAAAGTAGTTTCACGCATTAGAAACAGAACTGCCACCAGGCTGGCCTGCCAGGCCATCGGAAAATATGAAAATCAAATCTCAGTTGATCCGTTTACATTATATTGAAGTAGAGTAGGAAACTAGCTCAGACCAGTATTATTGACCCAATTCATGCTTTCTTTGTGTCAGAAATATATTTTATAATATGGGTTTTTACAGAAATTTGATGATAGATGCAAAGATTTCTCACACAAAGAAAAGATGAATTGGGCCAATAATGCTAGTCTGAGCTAGTCTCCTATTCTACTTCAATATAATGTAAACAGATCAACTCAGATTTGAATTTCAAATTTTCCGATGGCCTGGCAGACTAGCCTGGTGGCAGCTCTGATTAGAAATAGCATGCAATTAGGACTGGTTTATGCTGTTAATCTGTGCAATATGTACTGTTTGCATGCAATATTTCATTTGTGATCACCCCCATATACGTGTGAGTTCGTCAAAAGACCTCAAGATGTGTTCATAACAGTTTTCGATATGAGTAAAATTTCGTGACCTGATATTCCAGGTCAACTCATTTTTTCGTTATTTGACCCGAGTTGGTTTCTGGTTTCTAGTACGTGACTTTCTTGTTCTATATATTCAAGTTTGTCATGCATATGAAAAGAAAAGATTGATTAAAATAGTCAATTATTTTCTGATAGCATCGTAAATATGATAGAAATGTCTCATTAAATTTCCAATTTATTTTAACATTTCATTCATCAATGCTTTTATTTGCTATACAACATTCATACTCTAACTTTTAGAATATAATGAACTCGATTGCAATGATATTCTTCTTTAAATTGAAGAGGCGTTAAAAAAAAACAACACGAATAGAATATTGATTTAAAATAAGAAAAAGAATAGACAAATAGATCTTGTCAAATAAGAATAATAGAAAGATAATATTTGGTTTTGTTCGATAAATTCGATCGAATTAATTCATAATAAAAAGACTATTTGATTAAAATTTAAACGAAAATATATCTTTAAATAAAATTTAGATATCATCGTATGACACTACCTGCTGCTAAAGTTGTAGTTGCCGAAGAAATGAAAATTCAAGGTACATCATCGAGTCAATTATCATTAATGTTTAAACAAGAAATAGAACACATACAAAAAGAATTTATCGATAAAATCTATTGGAATATTTCTCAACCAAAAGTATATCTACATCAAATAGATAATTGTAAGTTTAGAAGAAGAAGCGGAAAAAAAAATATATGAATATAAACAAAATTCATTTTTATCTTTTAAAGTATCATGTTTCATTTGTAAAAAAAATATTGATGATGTTGAAAATCATTTTGTATCATCACATCAAATACAATTAATAACAATGAATAAAATCAAACAATGTTGTTTATGTGGTATTCATTGTAATAAAAAAAATTCAAGTTTATTTGAACATCAATTACGTACACATTCAGGTGTTTGTTATTCATCTGTACTTAAACAATTTATTCGCTTTGAACCGCCTCCTCCACCATTATCAAGAACAATTATATCAAAAGATAATAATCGATTAATATTACCATCATCATCATTATCATCGAATAAACGAACATTGACAACTCGCACAGAAAAAGTAAAGAATTTCAATAAAAACATACATTTTTAATAAATAATTTTCTTTTTTTTTTTTTTTTGTAATAGAAATTCGGTTGTCGAAAATGTGATACAAGCAGTCGATTATTTACATTTGAAGAACTTGTTGAACATTTACGTTTAAGTCATAAACTTATTGTTAAATTACATCGTCGTTGTATAATATGTCAACAAACATATCTTAAAGGAAAAGAATATAATCAACATTGTTTAGAACATTTAAATGATGAAAATCCATCTATAGAAATTAAACGATATTATATGAAATCATAAAAAACAAATAAAAAGGAAATTATATTATTTCCATTTACTCCCGTTATGTGTGATTATTAATTGTTGTATTTTTGAAAAGTATGTGAAATATTCAAATTGAAACATTTTCATTGTTTCTTTCTTTTTTCCTTACGATTGTGTTATAGTCAATGAGTAAAATTTTGTTTCTTTGTTAAAAGAAGAGAAAAATCAACAAAATAATATGATATTCATTTTATTATTATTATTTTTCTTCTTCTCTTGTCTTTTCTTGTTAAATAAAAAAGAGTACAAAAAAACGAAATTATCTAGGTCAATTTGACGCTTTTTTTTCAGTTTTAATTAAATCTTCGAGAAGTTATTAGACTTCCCTGTTGATAAACGCTGCCATAGCTGAATGATTACGTAGTTTGACACGTATTCATAAAGTACTATGTTCGAACATTGGTATTATTAGTCATAAAATGATTTTGGACAAGTCACTAATGGTTATTTCTCTCGGATAGAGCCCGTTAAGTGTAAATTTTTTCAACTCCGTTAAACCGTACTTTAGTACTCTCAATGAAATTTCATAATCAAAATTGAATAACCGCTTAGAAGATATCCGATAATGACTAGTACATATTCTTCGTATTTTTTAAACAACTAGAGTCCATCGAGTTCGGATCCAGTACCGATCCGATGTGCTACAGTTTTGAATAACTCGTCCGATAGTATGCTGAGTAGATTGTGACATACAGCTGTTCTTGTGATTAGTTTGTTGTTAGTTAGTATGTATAAGAAGCGTAAGGAGCTCTGCGTCAGACTAGTTTTATGTTCAGAGCTACAGTTAGTATTAATCGTACAGAAGATATTAGACAATTGAGTTTTGTGGATGTTCTGTACAGCTACTATTTTGAAAAAAATCTTAAAATAATTGTCCAATCTTACGCACAGAAGAAATTCTGAATTTAAGTAGTTCCAAAACTGAGTGAATATATTGTGCCAAGAACTTTACGTTAGAGGTTAGAATATGATCTTAATTGTTATAGTTAAACAGGGCTCCGAATAGAATGAGATAGCATGGAAGAAAAAAACATCGCATGAAACAAATCGTTACGTATGAAGGTCTTCTTTAAGCCTTGAATTTGCTTGCTTTCATGACTTACTTATTCTTTCATGTTAGTTTCCTTCTTTCTGTTCTCGTCTAATTTAGTTAATTTAATAATTAAATTTTAATTCTATTCGCATGATGTTGATCTAGGGTTTTAAGATCTTGTTGACCTCCAATGAATACGATAGTGAATTTATTGAGAGTCGTTTGAATTTACTAGACTCTGCTAAGATTCAGAATTCGTTTTTTTTTTCTTTGAGAAGATTGTAATGCCATGTCTGTAAGTAGTGATATTTCTTGTGGAGCGCATTTTCTATGTACGAATTCTTAGTTTCTGATGAGTTTACTTAACTTTCCAGATTGCTAAGAGTTACTGAAAATCGTTTTCAGATTTTCGTTCAAATCGATAGATTCCTTTAGATCTTTGTAGATTCTAGCGAATCTTGTATTTTTTTTCGGTTCAGAAACATTCCTCAAAGTTTTCTATCTGTCCTTTCCTTTTTTTTTTCAAATCAAAACTTAAAAGAAACGAGCTTGATGCATACAATCTCGTCTATAAAATCATTATTAGTTTTCATTGTTTAAACATCTCTTAAGATGTTGAAAATTTCTGCATGAAAAACTGCAGTAAGAAAATAATTAGAAGTTATTTCTATCGATGAAATAGGACAGCAAGTGGAGTACTATAAATTCTATTAACCATCTCTCCTATAGAGTATCTGGAGTAGATGTTTCATCAGCCGCAAGCTTTCGTTTTCTTAATGAAGAAAAAGAGAAGAAAGGTCCTCATTTCATTACCTTTACCTGTTTTTTTTACTATGGTTACCAATGTCCTTGATACCTTAAATGTAAATAATAGAAAAAAAAAATGAATGGATCAACAATTCAAAAAGTACTTATTCTTGTCTTGTATGCTTTATCATTTATTTAGAAACACTAAATATGAATTGTAGTCAGATTATGTTTATTATTTATTATGCATTATATGTATTTTTAGATAATATATTCATGTCTTTTTTATTATTAATAAATGTTAGATTATGATTGAATACTTTTCAAACGTAAGATTTTATTAGTAAACTATTACGAAGGAAAAATAAATATTAACCATATCCTTCTCTTGAAATGCCAATATTATTCAACCGTCGAGAAAATGAATTATATTTCGTCTTATTCGTTTTTTTTTCCTTGGATTACTTATCCAAAAACATTTTTGTTATTATGTTAAGCGTAAGTATCTTTTCTTTTTGTTTTAGGAAAACATTGAGATAATAATAAAAAGAAAATCATGAAGAAACATCAAACGAAAAGAGAACACTTTTTGGCTTTGAGCCGAACACAAAACGCATCAGAAACGGTGCGCGTAACAATCGATTACAAATCAAGAGAAATTATAAAACAAAAGAAACGCCTCATTGATTCGATCAGGAATCTTCGGATCTGTTTCTTCCTGTTTTTATTTTAATTTGCAAACGTAGAATCTTCTTGATATCTTTCAGTTACTCTATCAGCTAATGTTTTTAATCTATCGAGCGATCCGATTAGTCCAAAAAAATGGTATTGAAGTTCCTCTTTAATTGTATCAAATGATGCTGTATTTGATGACGTTGTACTTTGTTCAAGTTCATCAGATGATATGCTCGATGTTGATGATGAATGTTGTGTTGTATCATAACTAGCAATTAATATTCCTTCATCGTCATTTGCATCTTTGTTTTGTTGTTTATTTGAATAATTATCATTGTCAATAAATGGACGTGATCGTGTTAATTGGTTTCTTATATCACGAACAAATGCATACAATTCATGCCAATTAGTTGGTTGAACTGAATTATCAAGAACAACTTCTGAAAATAAATAATAAAAAATGATTTTATAATATAAAAACATTGTTCATATATATATTACCATCGATTGGCATATCTCTAAGTCTAGATGGTAACATAATTTCATCTTCCATAATTTTTGTTGCTTGAAAAAAACCATTTAGTGCACCGCTAAGAAGTGGTACAGAGAATGTTGATGGTGTATGATGATTAAGTAAGTCATTATTTGTTGTCATATTTTGACGACGTTGATACATCATATTTTGATTTCTTCGTTGTATCATACTAGCCGATGAAGATGGTCTAACTAATATATTATTAACTGGTTGCTTTGAAATTAAATTTGGTGAACTATTTTTTGGTGTCATTGTTGATCTTGTAGAACTTTCTAACTTCATTATTGTTCAAAACAAATCGAACCAATTGCAACAGTCGACTTATAAACACAGAGAAAAGGAGAAACAGAGTGAAAAAAAAATGAAGGTCTTCTTCTTTTTCTTTCTCTTTCTTGCGCACACAGTAGCGAAATCGTACTACTAGCTTTTCACCACTAGCATATAGTCGAAGGAAGAAAAGAAAGAAAGAAAAAAAAATATACATGAAAACGGAGGGAGGAGGCATAGAAAGAGAAAAAAACTACTCGTTTTGCTGTGTTTAGACACAGGTTATAATGTACATCATGCATCGAGCGAATGCTTTGTGAATGATGTTGATTCTGAGGGTTTATTTAGATGATATAGAAAAGCACTTTTCATTTTCTTGCACAGATATATATTGAGATTATAAGAAAAAGATAACATTAAAGAAATTTTTCAGAGTTAAAAGTAATGCCTGAATGAATGTTAAAATATGTGTTTTTCTTTTTATTGGGACCATGGCAAATCAAAAGGCGTGAAATCAAAACTGGTTCGTTTTTTTTTGTCATAGTATTTTTATGGTTGATAATTAAGAATTATTTTAACATAATATTTTCTTTGTCCTACATCAGATCGTAGGTGAATGTGTCACTCATTTCAATACGCCTTCATTTTTTAAATATTTTCATAAACCGAATAAAACAACGTCATCATCGACTTTCTTTTCTTTTGCACAAACGTATTTTTTATGGCACTGGAAATTGATATTAACCAGCTGTTTTCTACCACACCTTCTTGAATCAGAAGAGGCAAAACAAATCTAGAGTGGCATATCCTATCTTTTCTTTTTCCGTCGTTCTCTCATCAGATGTTTATGGTATGATCAAAGCATGCATCTAATACGTGATGATAACTGACGTTCTTTTACACTTTTATTCTATCGTAATATCTCCTATTGCTATGATGATAGTACATTTTTTCTACACTTAAATGCATTGATCTCTGGTTTGTTTCGTCCATCGATACGATTTTACATCATCGATGCATGTTATGCACAGCGTTGCTACGACAAATTTTTGTTTACAATTAATGATGTCTGTGACCGTCATTTAGACACACTCCCTCACCGTCCCACCGCTTTTTTTATTAGAATGTTAAGCATGTGAAAAAATAAGAAAAAAAAGTAGACTCATGAAATCGTAATTACACAGATATATGTCATGGTTCCACGTGGGATGGGACAAACCCATTTCATTGGTCCCATGAGATACAACTCTTCTAAAAAACGTTCTAGGGGTCAGAATGCGACAAAAAATTTTCCCTCTTATCCCATTCCACATGGGACAAAATATTTGAGAATAGTCCTATCCCACGTGGGACAGAAAATTTTGAGGAGAGTTCCATTTCACATGGAGAAAAATTTTTGAAGTTAGTCCTATCTCACATGGAACAGTTCGTGACGGCTCATTCCATGAGAAGTCTTGATATGTGTACATACTGTAATTACCTTGAAGTTAAGTATAATATACAAAAAAAAACTGGAGTCAATAGCAACAGAATATCGACAAAAGAACGCAAAAAAAGAAATAATATAGTTGTCAAAGGAAACAGATGTTTCTACGGTAAACTGTTTGAAACATTAAAAAAAAAGTAAATGAAATCACCATACAGTGATCTTTATTAGTCATGAAAAAAAACAAAAGAAAATCAAATAGGCTATTTCTTTAGAAATATCTTCAAATAATAACAAAAAGCATTGTTGTATTTATTGCAGATATATATATATATACATAGTAAAAGATAAAGACAAAATAAGGCGAACGTCTAAATGGGTTCATCAATGACAAAAGGTGATATAGAAAATTTAGCAACAGATTTTTATGGTCTTTTGGATTCATTTCAACATGCACCAGTTTATCATATATCATTTGAAATTTTTCTTATTTTGGCTGTTATTTGGCTTGTATTTTTTCGTAAACCACGTCCAATTGAAAAAAAATTAACAGAAAAAGAAAAGCAAGAATTAATTGATGAATGGCAACCTGAACCATTAGTACCACCAGTTGATCCTAATCATCCAGCATTAAATGTTCGTGTATTAGATGGTGTTGTTGGTAAAACAGTTGAAATTGATGGAAAAAAAAGTCTCAATTTTGCAACATTTAATTTTCTTAACTTTGTTGGTAATCAACGCATTGCTGATAAAGCTATTCAAGCAGTACAAAAATATGGTGTTGGATCATGTGGACCACGAGGGTAAGTTTATTATAACAATTATTAAAGTGTGATTATTCTAGTTTATTTTAATCGATATCTATTATTTACCATATATGATATATACAATAAAAATAGCAGAATTATATTATTCTATCATATAAATGCTACAGAATAACAATTTATAGAACAAAAAAGAGATAATTTAACGTCGTAATTGATTTAATTAAGGAGTTTTGTTCGTTTATTATAAACTGAGTTGTAGTTTCATTCTATGTTTTGAGAACTTCAAGATGCACTTAAAATGAGAACCAGAACGTGTTTGATATGAAAAAAAAATAATAATATTAATTTGAAGTCAAGCTGACCTTTAGTTCATTTTCTTGCTAGTGCTGTTGTAATTGAAAAAATGTTTATACTAAGCAAATAGCATGAAAAACAAAACTATCTTCATTTCTATATCATTACATGAAACAAAAATGATTCGTATATTAAAAAGAAGATTTATGTTTTGATGAATGATGATACGAATTCTTTTTTTAGATTTTATGGTACAATTGATATTCATCTTGAGCTTGAAGAACGTTTAGCAAGATTTTTTCAATGTGAAGAAGGTATTATTTATTCATATGGATTTTCAACTATTGCCAGTATTATTCCAGGTTAATTAAATTAAAAAATCTATTTTCTTCTTAAGCAAAAAAAAAAGACGAAGAATTATTTATAAATTTTAGCTTATTCAAAACGTAATGACATATTATTTGTTGATGAAGGTGTTCATTATGCAATACAAAAAGGTGTTGAAGCATCACGTAGTCATGTCAAATGGTTTCGTCATAATGATATGAATGATCTTGAACGTTTATTAGCTGAACAAGAAATACTTGATAAAAAAAATCCTAAAAAAGCTCGATCAATACGACGATTTCTTATTATTGAAGGTTTATATGTTAATTATGGTGATATATGTCCATTACCACGTATGGTTGACTTAAAATATAAATATAAATATCGTATATTTATGGATGAAAGTGTATCATTTGGTACAATAGGACAAACAGGTCGTGGTGTAACTGAATATTATAATATAGATCGACAAAAAATTGATTTAATATCATCAACATTAGAATATGCTGCTGGTTCAATAGGTGGTTTTGCTGTTGGTAGTTCATTTGTTGTTGATCATCAACGTTTATCAGCTCAAGGTTATTGTTTTTCAGCATCATTACCACCATTACTTGCGGCAGCAGCTATTGAAGCTTTAAATATAATGGAAGAAGATCATACATTATTATTTGAAACAATTATGGAAAAAAGTAAACGTTTACATAAAAAAATATTATCAATTAAAGGTTATATTGTCAATGGTGATGAAGTATCACCATTAAAACATTTACGTTTAACACATGCATTAAATACAATTGGACGTTTAGAAGAAATTGTTCAATTTGCTCAAACACGTGATATAACAATAACTGTTGCACGATATTTGAATGATGAACATCTTTTACCTGAACCATCAATTCGTCTTATATTAAATGTTGAAATGACTGATGAAGAATTAGAATTTTTATGTACGGTTTTACAAGAAGCACTTGTTAAAGTGACAAGTTAAATTTTTAAGTTGAAGATATTATGATCAATTTTGACCTTACATATATTCGATAGCTACTCTCTGTTTGTCTGCTTGTTTTTTTGTATTACACTTGTTTTTTCTTGTTTTTTTTTTATATAAATGAATAAAGAAAAAAAAAACACATTCCTTCACCAATGATGGTCAAATATTACTTTCATTATTCTTTTATTTAGAGATAAAATAATTATTTATCTAATGGCAAAGACAGATCTTCATGGGGTATTTTGTTTGATATTGAGTGAGAGAGAGAGAGAGAGATAGAAAACAAAATATTGCATGGATTTGATACGTTGCTATGTTTGAATGATTGTTTTTAATATTTGTTTTTGTTTTTGTATTTTTTCTTTTTATTCAAAACAAAAATAGAACATTTCTTGGATTGTATTCAATTTATTATTGATACATTCAATGGCAGATAAAACAATGACAAAAATTCTTATATTTGGTGGAAATGGTTTTTTGGGTGGAGAAACAGTAGTGGAACTTTTAGCATTGAATACATTTGATATTACTGTTGTTAATAGAGGCAATTGGAAAAATTATGATTCAAATATTCGTATTCGACCATTTGTTAAAACAATTAATATTGACAGGTTTGAATGTATGAATAATGTTTTATGATAAGAATTATTCATAGGTATTAGTCATTTGTTTTTATGATGCATTTGCTCAATTTTGATGTTTTAAAAAGATTCTAAGGTACAGATGCCCGGGGCGGAGACCGTGTGAAAGTGAATTTTCCAAGAAGGGAACTAATGATTACAGTAAAATATTCTATGATAATAAGCGAATTATAACATAAAAAGTCTTGAGACTAATACAAAAAAAGGTTTGGTGATCCTTCACATCGGTATTCTGAGAACATAATCATGCAAGTTCTCTCATAAATGTTAATAAGTGTCGTTATCTATACAATAGCTAACAGATGAAAGAAGGTAATGATCTGAAATTCTCACTATTGAAAGTAACGAATAAAAAATTGAATAAATAAACATGATTTTCATTAGCGTTTTGTAATAATTTTTCAGTATGACAAGAAACCAATATATTTATGCTTATAAGGGAAACGCATCAGATGCCTCCTTCTGATTTCAACATTTTTCTTTGCCTGTATATACTATACAGTATTTTAATAAAAGCCCTAAAAATGGTTCGAGTTCTT